CAATTTTAATAACTGCTTTATTATCTGTTTTTTGCAGTAACAGTATTACATAAATTATAACTATCACAATTAAATTACAAAAATCACGAAAAAAAAATGTCAATAAAGGAGATTGATCTCATTGATACGAATGAAGAGGTTTGTTCTTCTTTCTTGCATGCAATTATTTAAACATGCGTGCGCTGCATGCATGCATACATGCATCCATGCAGCGCAATCTTTTCTCAGATAAAAGAATAATTTGTGAATATTTTTTTACTTTTTTCAAAAATTCTAAAAGAATACTATTTTCATTAGAAAATATTTTCTTTATAAGTAATAACTGTATATTTGGCCAAAATGTTGTATGGCCTTTTAGACTCTCTTTAGCACGAAAATTCATTTTTCATTTAACTCACTAATAATTTGTTTAGTAATAAAATATATTTTAATCATTTATTAATTATTTATTTATTATGTTTTTGTATTTGAAACGAAATATTTTGAAGCTACATAGCTGAAATTTTTTTTTTGTAGTCAGGTTTTTCATAATTTTATCTCAAAAACTAAAGCAATGGATAAAAATAATTGACAATTGACAATTTTTTGGAAAAAAAGATATTTTTGTAAGAAAAACGAGAATTTCACGATGAATTTGGTCTTCAATTCACTTCCCTTCATTTTCCTTCCCTTACTATTACCCTTTTTATTCCTTTCTCTTGAATCCCTTTTTTTAGAAAATTGTGGAAAGAAATTACTATTACTACTAAAGTATTTAAAAAATGAAGAAAAGAAAATTTACAATTCTTATCAGTTCATATGGAAAAGTTCATTTATTCTTGTGGCCTTCACAACAATTTTGACGAAAACTTGGTATAACCTACGGCCAAAAATAGGGAAATAAATGAGCTGGTGAATGGAACTATTTATGAATAGAACGAGTTTGAGTTTTATGCACCGAACTCTAAATTAAGGCAATAATAGAAATTACAGTTGGTGATAGCTATGAATTTGAAAAATCTCATCTGATGAATTTGTTTAGATAACACTAAAATTTTAATAATCTTTTTTTTCATACATTTTTTCTTCTGGAAAGTTTTGCAAAAATTGCCATTTCATTCAGAAATCATACTTAGTTTTAAAATAATAAAAAATAACTTACTTAATTATCAAATTTTCTTAAATCCATTTAAAATTGGACCGATTTTAATTTGGCTTCTTGAGCAGATAAAAAGAAGGAAAAATCTGGCTTAGCTAGTTTTAGGATCTAGCGGCCGATAGCAAAATCTAACAAATCTGAAGAACTGTTTCAACTGACTGGTTAAGCCTCGATTGTTGCCTTAACAAGAGTCGATCCTCCATTAAAAATGAAATTTAATGGTTCGTCATTAATAATAAAATAAATCCGTATGACTGTTGACAATCCACTTATGTATCTCTAATTCTAGTGTCGGTGGTGCCAGAAAATTTCGAATATGATGTTAGATTATGAAAAAATCATTTTTTTATTTTCTACTATTTCACTAAAAAAAATTTATTGGAAAATTTAGAAGAAAAAATTATCAATTATCAGTAATCAATTGTCAGTGAGTGATATTATCAATTTGTCTTCTAGAAAAATATGAAAAAATATGAAATATGAATTGAAGCATTTTTTGCCAATTTAATTTTTTCACAATTCATTATCGATACATTTCTATAATTTCTAATATTTTTTTGGTATTTTCCTTTTTAATTTTTGCTGTTTTCTAAATACAATTTAAAATTTTCAGATTAATAAAATATTTTTTAAAATTTTTTATAAAAAATTAATTGAAATGGTCATACGAATTGATGAATTTCATCTTTTTTTTTCAAATTTATTTATCTCTTATTTCTAATTTATTTATTTCCATTTTATTTCATATCTCAATTAAATTTAACACATTAAAGAACTGAGCGAATTTCATATGCTATAAATCATTTTCCGTCAATGTTTACATTTTTAATTTATTTGCCATTTATCGAATTAATATTTGGCAAAAGCTACGCGAGAAATAAGGCAAAGTAATAAAATTGCCAAGCCAAGTAACAGTTTTTTTACTGCATTCATAACCTTTGACACTTAAATAACAATAATTTATTTAGTGTTAAATATTATTTATTCATTTTCATTATTGTTTTTTATTTATTATTATTAATTTTTATTACTATTATTAATTATTAATATGATTATTATTATTGTTTTATTATTATTATTAATTATTAGTGCCTAGGGAATGTTAAAAATCGTTATTTTGACATACTTTATCATTTTTTACTTAACTTTGCGCCGATTTATTTAACTGAATTTTAATTTAAAGCGTAAAGTTTTTTTAAATGTAATTTTTACTTTATTAGCTTGGTTTAATTTTAAATTTTTTGTTTTTATAGTTAAGAGAAAACATCATAAATAGCTGAAATATGTTTAATATAGTCAAATTGAATTCATGGTACTAACCAAAGCGACACAATGAGTGGTGATAAGCTGATAAAAAAAAAATGGCGCGCTTCCAAGGAAAACCGGAATTTCATGGGAATGAAAGATTTTCTTTTTTTAAAGTTCAAAAATGGGATAATCACTGCAAACACTAAAATAATGGATGTGTTGTATAAATTCATTAGTTTTGCTGATCATCCATCAGCAAAATATTTTCATCGAAAGCATCAACAAACAAGTTTTGTTTCACGACGAATAAATAAATTAATCAATTATACAAATCTAAGAAATTCGCAAGAAATTTTCTTCATTATTATTTTTTTTATATTATTTATTGCTTCAATGCTAAATCTTTTTGCGAATAAGTAATTTAAATTTTAAAATATATTTTTTATTTATCAATATTATTATTTTTTATTTAAAGAATGGCTCAATGGGTCGCTGATCTCATTTCCGAGCGCCGACGTTGGCGTTCTATTCTCAGTGAACCTTTTAAAATAATGATCCTAGCGCCTCAGATATATTATTAGTAAAATTATTAGTAAAATTGCCTGATCAAGCAAATGGGCCCACAAAATAATAAAAAGTGCTTTTAGAAAAATAAAATTTCTTACTTATTTCTTTCTTATTCTTTAAAAAATTAATTTTATTTATTTTAATTATATCAGCGATTTTTTTTCCTCCTATTTGATAATTAACTATTATCTATTATGTTAAGAATTTTTTAATTTTTAATCTGCTGTTTTTCTCTTTTTTTTAATTCAATTTTTTTAAAAAATTTAAAAATTTTACTAAAAAAGCACTACTTTATTTTAATTTTCATTTATTTATCAAATTTATTACATTTAATCATTGAAAATTTTTAAAAATATACTGCAATCATTTAAGAAATCTGACATTCACTATAAATTTTCAATATTTATTTGTGATAAATGTGTTAAATTGGTTCATATTGGACTGAGTGAAGAAACTAAAAAAATGACTCGAAGCTGTAAAATGATACATTAACACGAAAAAGACGCAAAACGATAAGCAACACCTTTATTATATCACACCATGAGGATTCAATGCAATGCTCATTCTCATATAAATATTAAAATTGCATTTGTTCCTAACTATTATATTTTGGTTATCGACGAGATTATTTCGATTGTCTCACTTTTCTTTTCAGTTTTTTGAAATAAATATTATGAAGGTTATTTTTATTAAAGATTATTTTTTTATTGTAAAAAAGAATTTTTGCGGGCAAAAACGTTCACCATTTCTGGTTGATTGGGTCCCTCTTCGCTGGTTCGTCAAGCTTGGCTAATTTTCATCAAGGAATTTTTTTTCATTTGGCGATAGAAATTAACGTGGGTCGTTAGCATCATCCAGAGTTTTGAAAATAAATTCATTCCTGCTGGAGATTTATGTTTAAAGATTCAATTCATCTATCAACTTTATCTTTTTTGGAAGAGCATTCACCATTATGGTTAGACTCGCTCCGCTGACTTGTCGCACTAGAGAAATACACCGGAAGTCCCTTGGCGACAGAGTATAGATGAGTAGCCAGCACCAATTTTATATTATTTAAAAAGATTAATCTATATGCTTCTATTTGGATCGAAAATTTTAGCTGCAGTAATCTATTTCATGCAATATTATATAAATATTTGGCAGTGTCTTTGTCTTTAAAGTACTGGAATAAAGTATTTCAGCAACTAGCTAAAAATTTTCTTTTTTCTCCAATATATACGAGTAAGCAGTAAGATGAAGTGAAGATGAAGTGCTACCGCCTTAACCATGATGCCTAAAGAGACAAATTTTGAGCAAAAATGAAAAAGTGGCGAGTAATTTTGATAGTAATAGTTATGATCATTTACGATAAAATTTAGAAATCACTTGCCCACTTCAGTGCTATTTTTTCTAAGAGCGCTTACTATTCCTGGTTAGAATTATTCGGATCATAGGTAAATTTAAATTTAATCAGGGACTCACTTGGTTCATTTAGAGGTGGATTGTCGATGATAACCGAGATTTTATTTTTTTTAGACATATTTACTCCTTTGAATAATTGAGCCATTCAGTTCTTAATTGGTCAATTAACTGGCCACTAAATTTATATAAATTTTAGAACATAGATTCCATGAACTAGGCTGAAGAAAACAAAATTTTCAAAGATGATTCTGCGGCAAAATTATAAATATCGAGGATATTTATAGTTTTATTACAATATTTATTATTATAATAGGATATTCATTATAATATGGAGAATATTTTGTTTAATTTTGTCCAAGATCTTCAATGTGTTGAACCAATTAATATGTGGATGATTTTTTTTTATTGTGGTACTAGACTATTTGTCATGCAATTTTGTGGCTTTTGAAGTGTTTAATGAAAAAAAATATAAAGTCTGGATTTATAAACAATATGGCAAAGATTAACAATAGAACGATAACAAATTACTTTATTCTTTGATTGATAATTCCCTCGACTTACATTTATTTTAGTAGATTCACCATTATGATAGTCCCTCCCAATATTTAAATTCATATCAATAAACCTGGCATCAAATATGGGAAAAATGGCATTGAAAGATCGGTTCCTTGTGGTGCTGATGACTTTTACTTATCTTTCAATTCCATTGGTAAGAATAAATAGGCGGCCAAATATGATATAATTTTGTTAGCAAGTTTAAGGGTAATATCAGTTTTTATTTGAAGCGTGGCGTTTTACACGACATTAGCTATCTGGTGCAAAGTCCTTTGATTTTTAAATTAATTTAATTTAATTACCTTTAGTTTTAATTTTATATAGTTAAATGTAAAAATATTATTGTCGTATTTTGTTTCCTTTATGGCTATATGATAAGTAAAAGATAATGATTAATAAGTGAAACAATATGTGGAAAAGTGAATGGTTTCTGAAGTAGCAAATTCGGAAAAAAAATATAAGTAGGGAGACTTTATAACGGGATATACTATATTTATCTTGAAAATTTTAGGAATTTGTCGTACAAGGACCACTTGAACGCGATTGGAGAGGTATAACCATCGCATTACTCGTCATTCTTGTGATGTGTTCATTAATTACTGCTGCCGTTTTGCTTATTACTCCGTGTAAACTTTTTCATACAAAGATATTTTAAATTTATAAATTTATTTGATTTTTATATAATAAGTAAGGTAAATTATTAACGCTCAATATTTCTCGTTGGATTCACTCTACTAACTGTTAATAAAACTGAAAGTTTTGTCTGAGTATTAAAAATATAGGTGGGTTTTCATTCGAATTTAATAAAAGTAGGAGTCGAAACGTTACGAAAACCTAAGCCACAGCTTGGTTATTTTGCCCTCAATGTTAAAGAGATAACGTGATATCACTTCTAGAGCTATGCAATCCGGTCAATGAATTTATTATCAAGTGAGGAAATAAGGGATTTTCTATGTTTTAAAACCACTATTATGCCAAGTGGTCAGGCGAAAAATGCTTCGTATAGGTGTATTTCTGTCTGACAAACCTCTGAGATTTTGTTATATATATATATATATCTGCGAAGCATAACCAGTGAGAATGAGGAATGTTAAGAAACTCTATTCTCAATAATTTCTGTCTAAGGTATATTCTGCATACTTTCTGAGACGATAGAACTATACGGTTGCATTTATCATTGTTCGATTCAACTATATCGTCAAAACATCGGCTAAGCTAGTTAGATTATTCTTTGCCATTACAAGAATAGACCACTATCTTGCTTGGAAAATCTTGTGATGATATATCATATATATATCAAAGGTGGAAAACGAATCAAAACTTGGGTTGATACAAGAAATTCAATGCGTACATATTAGAAAAGCTCTCAAGCGTATAATTCAGCGATTTAGAAAGTTAGAAAGTATAAAGAGAAGTGGCGATTTCCGTTAGTTCCAGAGGCAACAATAGATTGAGTATCTTACCCTTACATCCAGCAACTGGCCTAATGGGGAATCTTTTAGAAAGAGAGAAATCAAGAAATCACTTTCTTATTTTCCTCTAAAATTTCTTTGCACCAAATAACCTTATATACTGGAAAAATGGGCTTAAATCTGAGCTTAGAGCATAAATGCAAAATATTTTAATGTGCTGATTTCATCACATCTTGATTAACTTCATTATAAAATTGCAGTTGGCTCAACAAATGATGCTGGTAAAGTACCATTAAAATTAATAGATGTGCTTAGTAATGCTCTGCTAAGTAGTATAGAAGCGGTTGAATGGATTGATAAGGATCGAATCGCTATTAAAACCTTCGATGAAATTCGCATTATCAACACTTCTGCAACAACTTTTAATCCAAGAATTTTTCCTATTGATGAAATTCAGGTAGATCTTTTGCCTCCAAAATTAGATGCAAAATTTGAAAAAAAATTAAATCTGCGAGAAGATATCTGTCCGGATTTGTCCTATTGGAAATCAGAATTTTTTTCGCGATTGTATATTTTTATTATCAGCATTCGATAAGTTAGAAATTGTTTCTTCAAGTGATTTCATCAATTTTTTCTAAGAAATTTTAAAAAACCTATATCTGAAATTGAGATTCGTTATGGCAAAATAAATTTATGGAAAATTTCATATGATGGCAAATTTATTGCAATGAGATTTGATACGCAACAGGTTCCGATTTTTTTTGCGCAAATTTCGCTATAAAATTACACATACCAACTTTTCACTTCAAAAATTATTTATATATATATATATATATTGCTTCGTTGATTTCATTAGAAAATATTTTAAACTAAAAAAATGAATAGTAAGAATCATATCACGACGTAAATCCAGATATTTTTTTTCAAGATTGACTTATGCTTACTTATTCTTCAGCCTTGCCGGGGCACCGTTTACACCATCCTCCAAGTTTCTTTAATTTTTCTAATTCGTGGTAAACGGATATCCCCATTTATGCTAGCTTTTTCATAACTTCTAGTCAGGTTCATAATCCAACTCCACTCGTTCCAAAAATACTCTGCAAGGTTTGACAATATATTGAAGTGATATGGGGAAGTGACTACAACTAGGTCTGAGAGGACTAAAATGGTTTATTAGCGAAAGTAGAGCTTTGGAAGTTAAGGCGGTATTTAACGGAATTTAAGAAAGTATTTCACAGAGTAATAGATTTTGATGGAATAAAAGAATTTCGACGTGGTGGACCTGATTTTAAGGAGCACTATTCTTACCGACAAAACGAAGAGGAAGAGGAAGATAGTACATACTTTGGGTATCATAGTGCAGTTTGATGGAATTAACACAAGGAAACCTTTTTTTGAAGAGTCCTCACTATTACTGGTTAAACTCGCTTCGCTAGCTTGTCGCTGGGAATCCTTTGGCGATAATTGTATAGGTAAGTCGCCAATATCACTCCGATTTTTGCACAGGTCTACTACTACAGGAAATAGAATAGAAACCTCATTGTCGGCGCTTCGAATTGCGAAGCAACCCACTAAGCCGTCTAATCCCCCAGGAAGTTTAAGAAAAAATATAATTATTCTTAAAAAACGGAGGAAGTTATCAAAAGGATGCTGCTGATTGGTTATATATGTTTCATTTTTTAATACAATAAGGAAAGTTCCAAGAAAATCTTAATGCAATAAGATTTGGGATAGAATAGTATTAAGATCTGGTAATTAATCTTAAATTTTTTATCATAAAATTTAACAACATTGAAATATTGTTAACAACATTAACTGATATAAAACTAATACGAGCAATAACCTTAGTAGTTAGCTTATGAAAGTCAGTTTACTTTATTCATTTTATTTTTTTATTATCTTATAAGCTGTATTTAAGCATAAATACACAAATTTTAGACACATCGCTCTCGAATATCGAAAGAAGCTCTTTATAAAATTGCGAAAATGCCGGAAACAACTTTAAAATCTATGTAAAAAATTATAAATTCATTGATTTTATCAAAAAACTTGTTTTCTTTTAAGAAATTTTCCATAAAGACACTAGTATTTTATTGATGATTAATTATTAATTTTTCATTTCTTTTTATCACATTCATTTTACTACCACAATTTTTCTATTCGTACATTGCTTTATCGCATTCATAGCTGCTTAAAATCGTTCAAGAAGTCTAATTAATAAATTAACTTTTAGAAATCTTCTACCAGTCAGACCAGATTGCGACAATGAAGAGAATATTATTCAACTATTTTCATGGAATACAATGTCTAATGATTACGTAAATATTTTATGTTTTTCCTAATTAAAAAACTGGTCATTCGCTCACGGAAAATAAATTTTAGGCATTTGTTCATGAAAATAATATATACTACAGCGATGGTGTTGAGGGAAATCATATGCATCGCATAACTGATAATGAAAACAACACGTTTATTTATAATGGTATCATGGATTGGCTATATGAAGAGGAAATATTTGGTGATAGTATAGTAAGATCATCAATTTGTTGTATTTGGCAAAGTCAGGTTAAATTTCATGCTTCACCAATAAATCTATGTTTTAAGGGAATGTGGTGGTCGAATTCAGGCAAATATCTGGCATATATATCAATTGATGATCAAGAAGTGGACTTGATCGAGTATTCTTTATATGAAGGGATGCAATATCCAAAAACAGTTAAAGTTCCTTATCCTAAAACTGGTGCGCGACAACTACCGAAAGTTTCTTTATTCATATGGGATAAAACAAAAAAAAAATCAAGAAAAATGGAGATAAAATTGGGAGATGAAAGGTTATAATAAATGAAAGTTAAGAAATAAGCTAATATCAGTATAATCAGCTTTCAAGAATTTACTAACTAATTAAGTGATTTTATTAAAATTAAAAAAAAGTCAAATAGTTCTAATCAACAATAAAGTTTTGTCCAAAAACTTTGATTGATAGATTATCATAAGAATACAAGAGGATTTTTTCCTCTTTTTCTAATAATATTCGCCATTTTATGGTTAGAAAAATGAGGCGTTTCGATGCCACTCGATCCAGTGCCATACTTGAAAGTAGCGGTGCCTAATTTTTTTCCGTCGTATAAGCCCTTTATTGTTGGACATCTCCTTGCTTTTCTGTCTTCCTCACTTTTGATTCATTTCATCATAAGGCTTAGCATATAGAATGGTGTGCATCAATTAGTGCGATGGACAGCGAAAGTTCTGCTCGACAAGCAATAAGATAAAATAAATTTTAGACATTTTTGCAATCAAACATTTAGCTTGAAAATCTTTTCGAAATTTTTAGTTATCTTTGCAACTATAAATTAGATAGATATTTTGCAGTTTTTACACTTATATCTTCGCTATAAAATGGCTTTCGATGAATAATAGCGATGATATACTATTATCAGTTTTTGCTAATAGATATCAGAATGTAACGTCAGTTACTATGTGCAGTTTTGAATCAGCAAAATGTGTTTTGGTAATATTTTTTATTTGTTTATAATTTCGTTTAATTTGTTTCATTAATTTTTTAATTTTTTTTTTGCTACTATTTTTTTTAATTTTTTGCTACTATTTTACTTGATATTTTTTAAAAATTTCTTGGAGATTTTCGCAGTCATTAATTTTTTAATTTTTGAAATTCATCTTAATTAAAAGATTTATTAAAAGATTGCCTAAATCGCCTAAAACGGCAATATTTGTGTTTCCGTAAAATAAGAAGAAATTAATAATTAATTAATAAATAATAAGGGCTAACTATTTTTATTGCAGCACATAAGATTCTATGCATAAAATTTATTGGACTGGAATTCTTGAAGCTTGAAATTCTTTTCGTTTATTTTTTTTTCTGGCTTGTTAGGCGAAATAAGTTACCAAGGGGTAGAAGCCTTAAGGGTCAATATACAGGTAAAGTACCGGTACCAGCCATGTCTTTGGGAAATTTATATATTTCAAGGAGTAGAATCCTAACATTAACGCTCAGAGCAACAACCTACTGGGCCATTTCGCGCTTCCCTTCCAACAACTCACTTATATACATGAATTTTTTTTGGTCATACGAAGAAAATATTCGAATAAAATTTAAACCAAAGCTTTTATTTAAATTTTTTTGGTTATAATTATCCATTTATTACACAAGAATATTAAGAATATATTCACATCTTGTTAGCATAAATGGATTTCTAATAATAGTGAACATTGGAATAATAAATAAAATTAAGACTCTCAGTGGATGCATACAGTAGTTTATAGAAATCCATTTTATATTTACATTTTATTTTATAATGTTGAGGAATATTCTTGCAAAAACCACTAAGTATTGTAAATTTGAATGGGACAATTTTTTAAAATTATTGGCTCAGAAATGTATTATGTTATTTTTATTTTATTTAATAATTATTCATATGTAATTTATTCACTTTATTATTTCTAATTAGCCACCAGTTAATTAAACATTGTCAGCATTTTTAAAGAATTTTGCTGCAGAACTTTCGACAGTTATATCGATACGGTAATAGACGTTTATGGGCTGAACCGGATGAATACAGAATTTGCTGTCAATCGAATAATTCATATTTTATTAGATTGCCAACTCCTAAAGCAAATGGTGAAATATATACACAAATTGCACGGATCAGTCTACCGGTAAGATAAAATCTAATTTTTTTGCATTGAAACTTTTGAATAGAAAAAAATGTGGAAGATAAGTCCTATTATTCTATTCCAATTGATATTAGGACAAGCGTCAGTATTGTGGATGTACTTTCAATTATTTTTTATTCAATTTTTGTCAATTTTTTTTTCAAAAATCTTTCAATTGGTCGATAAATAAGCAATTAAGTTGGTAGCTATTAACCCTGAAAGAAATCGCCAATTGGAGAAATATGTTTCATTCTTTTATTTAAGGGAAAAAATATTTATTATACATAAATTATTTTATTTTATCAATAAATAATAATGAGTAAATAATACAGAATAATTTCAATACAAACAATATATCATTATTGATAAATGACTGCTTTATCAGTGATTTATAGTATCTATAATAATATTTTAATACATACCACATATCGTTAACGATAAATATTCAATATGATATATACGATAAATATTTAATATGAAAATAATGATGAGGATAATTAAAATGATAAAAATCAGTTCGTATATTTATCAGACTATTGTTAAACAGCTATTAACATATTTAATATACTTCTTATATATTTATCATTTCTTATCGATTTCTGATTGTAAGACTCATTTGCCACGGATTTTCAAAAAATTCTTCCAATCTTTTTTAAATCAGTAATTAGTTTAGACCATTTCTGGCTTTTGTTTTTATAAGTATAAAAATAAAGATCTCATGAATATGAAAGATGAAAGATCATATGAAAATCATTTAATTGTTGGCAAAATCCTTTCTTTTTCAGATGAGAGAAATAAATCTTATTGACCGTGCCAATGCTATTTGCATTTGTCTCTTATTCTTCTATAATTTACAATTATTACAATTATTATTGCCTTTGAGGAGAGGGATGGAAGGGTTAGAAAATTTCCAGCAAAACGCGATGATTGTTAAAGTTTATTATATTTTAATATTATTTATTTTATTTATTTATTTATGCAACTAAGCATGCGACAGACATTAATAACAACAAAATAAAGTATTAAATGAAATGAACTAGTGATTGCGACAGAAGGAATGTAACCAAATAACAATTATATAATAACAATTTAAAGAGAAATAATACAATAAAGGGAATTATAAAGTAAACCAAGATGTTTTACTGATAGATAATCGTATGATAAAAGATTTCAAACTTCCTGCATAATATAAAATACTTTTAAATAATACCATGGATGATATTATCTAATCTTTTTTAAAAGAAGGTGAGGATGGTGCATAAATTACATCGTTCGGCAATTAATGGTGCAAATAAAAAAATAATCTTAATTTAGTATTGCATTTAGGTTTTAATACTTTTAACCCATTAGATCTTGTTAGGTTCTTAACTTAAATTAAATTAGCAGTCTTACATTAAATTTAATCTAAGATTATAATATTTTTGAACAAAAGATTATAATCTAATTTGATATAACAGTTCGATGTCTGTATATTCCAGATAAATGAATATACTAGCGGAAGTATTGGCTCGTCCTTCTGAAATTAATTCCTTCCTTGATTATTTTCAAGAGCATTCATGATCTAATGATCTGATCAGATATAGTAACCAAATGGTAACCATTTCAAATGGCCTACTAATTTTTCGGCTGGACTTCTTATGAGAGTGAACGATGTGGAATCATTTTTTTTCGCAAATAGCGATTTAATTGCGGTCCTCAAGTGATTAGCTGTTGTTCATGGAACAGCCTTCTCCATGGAATGGTTCCACGCTTATGATTTTGAGAATCGTCGAAGGATCTGATATAATATAAAATTAAAATTGGATTTAAGCAAGAAATTGCTCATTCTTCGCTAGTAAATTTTTTTTCCAAAATTCTAAAATCTTTTAATTTAAGATTGATTTAAAAAATGGTGCAATATCATCGATGTCATATGTTAATGCTTTTTACGATATTGTTTCGATCAATGCATATGATTCGAAGAACGATATACTGTTAGAATTTCGTTACACTTATTATTAAAATTTTTGACTGCACTGCGAAAGAATTCGTATATTTAAAATTTTAAAAGTCGTAATTTTTTGGAAATTTCTTGCGACTCCCATCATTGTTGGTTAGGTGAATCACACTGGCTGCAAAGGAAAAGCGTTTCCAAGCCACTTGATTCGGTGTCGTATTTCTGAAAGTAATGGACTACTCCTTTTCCTATCTCATGAAGCTCATATATCGTTAGGCCCCTATGCATTCAAAATCTATCATTTATAATTAAATAATAATTAAATTACAATTAAGAATAATGGCTGGAAATCTTCTATAATAGCAGTAAATAATCTCAAAAAAAGATCTAGCAAATAGTCATTTTATCGGCTGGGTGGATTTATTGTTTCAAATATGCACATTTTTAATGGTAATAATATTAGTGACAATAATAATAATAAATAATAATGATATTAATAACAGCGATAATAGTGGTAATAATGATAATAATAATGATAGTGATAAATATTAATAAAAAATTTGTTAAAATCCAGTAATTATATTCCTTGATAATTTCTTTCCAAAAGGTTTTCCAAAAGGGGCTCTTCCTAAATAACAGTTTGAATTTTTAGCTATTATATCGCAGCAGCTCCACTTCCTTCTCAACGCCATTTATATTCATTAACAGGATGGTTGGTTAGTTTTTAAACTTTTTTCTAAAAATTGAAATCATATAAATTTAAAATATAAATATACATATATTCAAAATATAAATATACATATATTCGAAATATAAATATACATAAATACAAAATATAAATAAATATTTATATCGTATTGCGCAAACTACCAAATTTTATTAGCGATGAATTTTATCAGATAAAAAATCACACCTATATATATATATATTTATAGTATACATATATTTCTGGTTAGACACAATTATGCTGTTGTTAGAAATTTTTGAAATCAGAAATTTTTGCCAGGAATTCCTTGGAAGTTTGCAAAGATCGCTAGCGTCACTAGATTAGGAATCTTTTTAGCGACAGGTTTGCTTGTGTTTGAGGCAATGAGTGAACCTTTCTTGAGTTACCATCCACTCAGCTATCTTGCTCCCTATAATGTTCTAAATTTGCGTGCTCATATAGTGTGGCATCAAAGAGGTGTTAGGAGTTGTCGAAAGAATTTAAGGAGTATTGAGGAAAAGAGGATGTTAAAAGATTAAAAAAGCGTTTTAAAACCAGTATTTTGTTAAAAATCCATCGAAATCCTAGGGGATTAAAATGCCTTAAGGTGTATCTATTTGAGCGTTAATTAATATGACGAAGGCAAGGAATCATTTGGGTGGAACAATCAAATTTTTATTTGATAATCGCATGTAAAAAATTACATATATAAATATAAATCACATATATTTACGGATATTTGCTTTTATTCATTTTATTTACCTGATTTTGCAGAATAATATACCACAAGTAAAATGTGTTACGTGTAATCTAGTAGAAAATTGTACATCACAAGAAGTTGTGTTTTCAAGCGATCGCGATAGATATATATTGAATTGCCGTGGTCCAGGCCCACCAAGAATTTATCTCGTCAGTGTGTCATCTAATAACACTTTGCGTATGTGCACATACCTTTCTTTTTCATTTTCATTAGGCTGAATTACTTTTTCTTTTATTCTAAGAGCCTCACCAATTTTGGTTATGCTCCGCCGGCTTGTCCAGCCAGGAAAATTTTGCCGAGCAGTTCAATTGTCGATAGAAATGTAAGCGAGCCACCAGCGTCAACAGCATTGACATATTGTATTGCACTGAATCTTTCGAGCATATTTATTATAAATTATATCAATAAAATTATAAAAAATTCAGTCGCTGAATTATCGGATCATAAAATTCTTGAAAAAAATTTGAACGAAAAAGCTTTGCCGACGATCGAATATGAAAATATTACTTTAAAAAATGGATATGGTATTTCATTATTTGTTTATTTTAACATTAATATCATTACAAAAATACATATTTAATTTAAATTGTGGCAAAAACCTTTCCTTTAAAATTACTACATTGAAATTTTTACTGAATGCATTGAAATTTTTCACTTCTGGAACTTTTTTTTCACTCTAAAAATGAAATTTATAGTGGCAAAAGCAAAAATAATTTTGCCTCCTGGATTTGATCGCTTATCACTCAATCGAATTTATCCAGTTGTTGTATCTGTGTAAGTTCGCATCAAGTTTCTGTTCACTTCTTTAACACTGGTAATATTCCCTTTTCTAAGACAATTTCTGATTAGATGCGCTCTGCTGGTTTGTCCGACTAGGAAAATCATTTGAAGGCAAAAAAGTTACCAGTATAATTCAGATTTTTGAAAGACAGGCAAGGTGGGAATAGAACTCCAACACTGCCACTCCAAAATTCGAGCAGCAATTCACTATTTTACCTCTAGTTTTTGTGGTAATAATATTTAATTCAAAAATATTAATGGAGAAATGAAAAAAATATCTTAATATTATTTCATAGAAGTGTCAAGTAATATACTATTTCGTTAAAAAATAGATATGCTGGACCAGGAACGCAAAAGGTTGTAGAGGACTATCATCCAGTTGGTCTCGACCCACTCATAGCATCGAATATGAAATATATTGTCATAAGTATTGATGGACGAGGATCAGGGATGCAAGGATGGAAATACAAGGAGCCTATTTATGGTAATCTAGGCACTGTAGAAGTCGAAGATCAGCTTGAAGCTATGAGGTCAAATTTTCTTAGAATATTTTATCCGAGATTTAAATATAGTTCATGTTTTTAATCAAAGATTTTGAAATGAAAAAAATGGTGATAAGGTATATTTGAATCGCATTATCTCCCATATCAATTTTAAAAATTTATGAAAGAACGTGAAAGAAATTTCAGATATTTGCTGGCTACACATCATTTTATGGATAGACAAAGGGTTGCGATGTGGGGATGGGTTGGTGAATTTCTTTAAAAATGATTGAAGAATGAAAGCGATATGAAATAATACAAGTGTAGCCTGAGTTCCACGTTGCTAATTTAATTTAATACTTGAGTCCTTGTAATATTGACTGGGAAAGAAGTAATTCGCCAGTTTTTTGTATGAGAATTCAAAATGCAATAAATGGATAAATGGTTGAATGCTTTTGGCTAAAAATGCTCAATTTTAGTCATATGGCGGATTTGTGACTGCGCATGCCATCGAACAAGACACAAAGAATACAATTAAATGTGGAGTGAGTGTTGCTCCAGTTACGGATTTCAAATATTATGGTAAATATTCAAGTATTATTCCAGGCAATTCATTGCTGCCCGGAGTAATTCTCCAGCATCGGTCTTCCATGGCAATGCCATTCTATGTTGGGAATTACTTAATGCTCTTTACAATTTACTATTAGAAACTACTATTAATTTTTTTCATTAGATGCAACATATACCGAACGATATATGGGAGATGCTTCAGAAACTGCCTATGAAAAAGCAAATATTTTGCGAAATGTTAGCAATTTCAGAAATGTAAAATATTTATTGGTGCATGGATTGGCTGATGGTTAGTTTCATTTGGTTTGAAAGAATGTGAAATTTCAGATATTTGCGGGCTATGCACATTTATTTTTTCAAAAGATTATATAATTTTGCGATAATTCGTGGAATTTTAAAAAAATATATCTTGATTTGTTATAGGAAATGTACATATGCAAAATACAGCACAAATGATCCTTGCACTTGCAGAACAGAACATTCAATTTGAGTTAATGGTAAATCTAATTGCTTAAAAAATAAATATATCAAACTTTGTTCTGTATGTTCGATAGCGCAGTTGGTCATTTGGGGACCGGGAATTGTTATCGGGGTTCGATTTACGGCAGGGGTTGCCAGTGATGATAAAACATGCACCACTCTGAAAGGCATGTTGAGGATAACCTTATTTATTTCTGAGGCATACAAAGCGGTTTTAAATGCACGTTTTTTTCTAAATTCTTTCAACATCTCTAATTAGCCACTCTCTCCGCTGACGTGTCAAATTTTACAGAGGAACTACTTGGTGATAAAAATAGATGAGTTGACTTGGAAAGGTAAATTTACTCTTGCAAGGAATGGTACTCCGAAGTGAAGACAACGATCTTTTGAGCCCTTTCTGCTCTTTGTATTTCTTATTTCTTTTCAAAAACTAATAGAATATGCAAATATTATTACGTTGAAGGTCTATCCAGATGCAAGTCACGATTTGTTATGGGCGCGAGTACATTTATTCACCATGCTAACAGAATTTTTTCGACGATGTTTTCACACTGCTTCGTCATAGAATTTCTTATCATTAAGCTAGTTCTGTATGTTTAGCTAAATAAACTGTTATATATTTATCGATAATAATTCCGTCTAAAGGGCCCTCACCATTATTGGTTGGACTTGTACCGCTGATTTATTTCACTAGACAGGGGGTCCCTTGGCGACAGAAGTGTAGGTGAATCGCCAACATCACCGAAATTTTTACTCTTGCGAGGAGTCAGTATCAATGCTCTGAATCGAACAACAATATGTCGATAATGTATTAATTGTCAAATTACGATGATATAGATTAAGGGATAAGCTGGTGCCTATAAAATCCTCTCATTTTCTGGGATTCACTGGATAAATATAAGTTAGTAATAAATAAAGTAATAATTATAATCCTTGATTGGAATTTGCCTCAGTGAAATGGTCATTCGTTATAAGAAATTGAGCATTATGTGCATTCATTCATTTATTTAAAATATCGTAAATTCCCACATTATACATTTATATATTAAAATCACAAATGTGGATTTTGCGAAAATAGGGTAAGTAAGCGATGCATTTTCGGGAGACCCTCATTTGAACATTTCAATCATAGAATCGGCCATTCATCGGATATGAATTTGGGTTTTTCTGACTCCGAAAAAAATTACACATTCATAACCTTGCGAAAGTTAAACGCCATCGCGCCATCAAACTTCGAAAACATTTCTGAACTATGAAATTTTCTGGCGATAATTTTTGAGAAATTCTCGATTATTTTTTATTTATTCTAGTTAAACTTCATTTTTTTGCATTAATTCACTTTGCTAGAATTGTATCAAAATTTTTTTGATCTGTTTTTTCTGTGAAATCGCAAATTTTTCATGAATAAATTCAATTTAACGCATTCGATGTTGTTTTATTAAATGATTACATATCAAATTTTCACTAGAATCATATTTGTATCATCAAGATATGTCGTTTCGATATGTCGTTGATAATTTTATTAGCCTTGTCAAATAATTTAAATGTGAATCATTGAGCAGCAAATTATGAATGAATTATTGAATGATATAAAAAATCTTTGGCGCTAAATTCGCACATTTTACAAAAATTTATCTGGAAATCTGAAATGAAGGTGAATTAAAGGCTTGTTGAACCAATCATGTAGATTAGATTCTCTTCTTATCAGTTTGCTAGGAAAGTATGTCCCCTTGTTATGTCCAACTAAAAACCCTGTTCCAAAAGAAACGTCATGTGCCCCAAAAGATACACGAAAGCCACTTTAAAATAGCGGAAACTGCTGGTCTCTAACCTATTTGCTCAACTTATTCACTTCTTTCGAAAATTTCTTAGAGGAAAAATAATTGCAAAAAAAGAAATTTATGAAATTTATTTATTATATTAGAACAGAGGTTATTTATTATATATTTATTATTTATTAGATCTACTATGAACAGAACAGAATTTTTTACGGCATGAAATCTGCAATAAATATAAAAAATTTCTCATTAAAAAAACCTTCTCCTGAAAAATATTCTCCGTGGTAATTTTTGGTATTAATTCGCCAGAATCGCCAGTATCGCCTAGAATTTTAAGTTTACTCATATTGAACAACAGCCGATCCCCTTTCTTCCAATGTAACATTTTGAACCACTATTCACACGAATATTCTTCTATATTGATTATAACGCTTTACTTTTGTTGAATAATATATTAATTATCGAAAATTTTGGTGAAAACCAAAAAGTAAGTAGTAAAAATAGTAAGTAGCAATGATAAAAATGGTAATTTTCATCTTGTAAAAAAGGTTCATTTTTTCAAGAGCATCATCATTTCTCGTTATGGTTGATCCGCTGATACACCGAACCAGATAAATTTTTGGCATAGAGTCACTTAATAATAGAGAAGTGCAGTTGAATTACTTGAAAAGATTGGTTTTAACCTGCGCAGAAATCTCAAAATCTCCATCCTCGGAATAGTAATAACCCACTGAATCATTCTATTACGGGTTTTTTTCTTTGTTTTTTTTTAAAATTTTATATTTTAGATTTATTTAAATTTAACAAATTAATTAAATATTATATTAATATTAAATATTATATTAATATTAAATATTATATTAATATTAAATATTAAAATATTAAATATTTTCGTTATTATTTTACTAAATTATTAAAATATTATTATTTCGACAATAATAAAATATTATTATTTCGACAATAATATTGTATAATATTATAATATTATATAGTATTATATAATATTATAATATTAAAAAACAGAAATGTAACAAAAATCGCTAAAATTGAGACATATTCAACCATCGAAATATCTTTTTCGAAAAAAAATTATGGAAAAATAACTGAAAGGCAAATTCATGTTTATATAAAAATTTATTTATTTATTTAATAGTTTATTGAATTTCTATTGGGTTGATGCAGCCAAGAAAGGTTTTGAAAGTACAGATGGACCAGCGATATATATATATATACTTGGAAAAAGGAATGGCTTCTATTGCGGTCGAAAAAGGCGTCAGATCGACAGCCTGGAACCGTTTTATCCTTATAGAGCCTAACCACTTGGAGGGAGAACTTAATTTAAATTGATTTCGAAAGTAAAATTTGAATTATAATTAAGAATAAAATTGGCTTCTTTCTTAAAAAAAGAGCTTGCGAGATAAATAAATTTTCTTTCAACATCGATAAGACACTTGGATAAAATATGTAAGAATTTCTTAGTTGTCAAAAAAATGTTCAATTCATTGTAATAAACAACCTTCGATATTATCAACGAAACAAAGAAATTTTTGAAAAATGCAAGAATATTTAGTTCATTTAAAAAAGAGCAATTTTTAAACTGCAAGAAATAAAATTATTATTCGCTTTCTATTGAATTTATGAAAATCGATTTTATTTGCGTGGAAATTAAAGCAAAAAATTTAATAAATAAATAAAAAACAAATGAAAAAATGAAAAACAATTTTGAGGAAAAATCACCAGTTTTTTATATTGAATTTTTGAATTTTTTAAATGGAAATTAGAAGAGAAATTCATAAAAAAAAATTAGGAGAATTCGTTTATTTGATTTAAAAATAAAAAAATAAATCAGTGGAAAAAAATATTTAGCTTATTTAATAATTTTAATATTTTTTTAATTCGATAATTCGTTAATTTTTTCGTATAATCTTTGATTTTCGCAGTTAATTTTTTGTAATGAAATTTTGTAAAAAGATTTTTTTAGAATATCAATCAATGTCTTCGAAAAATTCGCGCTTTATTCAACATTTTTAATAAAAAATTTTCGCTGAAATTTCAGTGAAATCGAAATTTTTAGTGCAAAAAAATGATTTAATAAAGTAAAATATTTATAAATGACGGAAAAATAATTTTAAAAAATTTTAGCAATTCTGAATAATTAATCGACTATATTTAAATGATGCAAAAAGTAAAACAATATTCCTTAAAGGAAATATTAAAAAGAGCAAAATATTTTAAGGAAAGTCAACGCTTTGCACAGTAAAGCTTTGCATATTCCAAAGGGGAATTGCATTAATGGAAAAATATTTAGTAAAGAAAATAACAGAAAATATGTGGTGAAAAATAATGAATATATAAATATTTAATATATCTGAAATATATGAACAATGAATGACTAACTGCACATATAAGTAAACATAAACGTGTTTTCATTAATAGCTTTTTTTTAGAATTTGCAAAGCCAACTTAATGTGATTTATTTAAGAGAAAAAAAATGGCGAATTTCTAAGCCAATAAAAATGACTGTAAAAAATGGCAATTCCGAGCAAACTAGCAAATTTTTTTTGCGCATATCCTCTCAGTGTCATCAAAGTCAAAATTGCCTTCATGCATATCCCACAAAAATTCTTCTAATTTTTGCGCAGGAATTATGAAATTAGTATTTGTCCATTTATACATTTAACATAATCGCAATTATTTTATAAATATATGATAATAAAAAGCAATGACATAACATTTTACATAACACTATGATGCAGTATGATAACCAACACATGGAAGAGAATTGTAAATAAATGATAAATTTCGTCTTCAAAAATGAGCAATTCAGTTTGCACTGCTGACATTTATTGAAAACGAATCATTGTTTAACGAATTGTTACTTGTTGCTTACTGAATTGGTTGGCAGCTCAGTGGTTCTTGTTATTGTATTTCCAGCATGTCAATGAAAAATGGTTTTTTTATTTTTTAATAGCAGCCAACCAGTAATATTTGCTGGTAAATCGCTAGCATAATTACCTAAGTTCGCTCACGTCGAAAGCACGAGCCAAGCCTTTCTCTCTCAATGCGATGATTTGAACCTCTACTTTTTACACCGATCATATGATTATTTTGCTTTATTGAATATATATTGCAGAAGAATAAAAAGGGGGTAAATAAAGGCGAAAACTTAAGAAATGGAATGAAATAAAAGTGAATATGCATTTAAAAAAATTTCAAAAGCGACAAATGTGAAAAAATTTTGTGAAAAAACTTTGGAA